TGCCTCACCTCAAAGCTGATGAGTGACTTGCTGCCGGCTCCAGGCATCGACCTCGTTGCGATGTCGGTCAACGATCTCTTGGTGCAAGGAGCCGCTCCTCTGTACTTCCTGGACTACTTTGCCTGCTCCAAGCTCGCAGTGCCGATCGCTGCAGCAGTCATCACGGGTGTCGCAACTGGCTGCAGGCAGGCACGCTGCGGACTGATCGGAGGCGAAACGGCTGAGATGCCTGGCATGTATGCTGCAGACGACTACGACTTGGCTGGGTTCGCTGTAGGCGCTGTTGAGCGACAGCAGCTACTTCCCCGCGTGAGCGAAGTCAAGGCAGGAGACGTCTTGCTCGGCCTGCCATCGTCCGGCCTACACTCCAACGGCTTCTCTTTAGTCAGGAAAATTCTCGCGCGGGCTGGTGGTCCCACTGCTCTACATGCACCTGCTCCTTTTGCCTCGGCATCCAGACACAAGACTTTGGCGGACGCGTTTTTGGAGCCTACCAGAATCTACGTCGAGTCCTTGTCACCTTTGCTCGGCCTTTCTGACGGCAATGCAGGTTCTGCTCAACCTCAGCCGCATGCGGCCTGGAAGGGGCTACGAGCGCTTTCTCACATCACAGGTGGAGGCTTTACGGACAATATTCCTCGGATCTTGCCTGAGCATCTCGGCGCCAATATCGATGTCAGCGCGTGGCCGCAGCCCCCTCTTTTCGCCTGGTTGCAGAAGATTGGAGAGGTGCGAGCAGCAGAAATGTGTCGCACATTTAACAACGGTGTCGGAATGGTGCTAGTGGTCGATTCGAGCGCAGTGAAAGAGACCATTGAGGCATTGAAGCTGGGCGGGGAAGAACACGTCATCCAGATGGGGTCCATTGAGGAAGGAGCTGGCATCAGATATCGCGGCTTCGAGAGTTGGGCGCTCCCTTAGACATCAATCGTCGCAATCAGTTGATAAGTTTTCCATCGTACTGAGCATTGTGAGCCTTGATGAACAGGTGCGTCGTAATGAGCATTGTAAGGACTTGATCAATGGGAGCCATCACAACAGCCGATTGTGACCAGTGCAGCCTCTAGCAAGCCCGACTGCATTGTGATTCCTATTACCACCAACGCCAGGCCGAACATGGATGGATTCATTGGTGCACTGGGAAGCCGATCCTCTACAAAGCGCGGGCATTCTTTGATTCGCATTGCTGGTCACGTGTTTGACTTAAAACACGGAATGATGGGCGCTTCCAGCTGCATGCTGGGCGAATGACACACCCAACACCGCCTGCTACAGCTGTGCTTTCATCGTCCATCCAAGGATATCATTTCGACTGCCCATCAGGCTCTGACTTGACTGGAAGCCGCCTGCGCTGAGTCACATACCCAAGCTCCATACACATCAAAGTGCTACGTCCTTGCCGCAAATCAGTCTCCCAATCGAGCTCGAAGACATCAGACGCACAAGCGAGAACAAGCGACTTCCAGCACGATGGCTTCCTTTCTTTCGCAAGCGTCCTCGTACTTGTACGTTCCAGAGGATGTCGATGTTGGCAATAATACATTAGAGCTTACGCATCCCAGTACCCATCCTGCGACTTTTGCAGCGGCCGCACGAACATCAGTGCCAACTATACAGTTGACGAGAAGATTCCGG